TTTTTGTTTTCAACAGCTGCATGCCGATGCCATCTGGATCCTAAAACAAGAGTCAACTGTGGATTCCCTGGAATCACTGCTCAGCAATGCAGGAGTGCAGGGTGCTGCTTCAGTTCAAAAGTCCCTGGAGTCCCCTGGTGCTTTTCTCCAGCTCCCCCCACATGTAATATATCTCAATTTTTCTGTTTTCTGTTTATAATTCATACTTCATCTTTAATACTGTGTAATACAGAAAACATATTAATGTGCTTAATCAAGGACTTAATGGATGTTGCCAGGGCTTTTTTTGTAGAAAAAGCCCAGCAGGAACTCATTAACATAATAGGCCACACCCAACAGATAATTAGCATATTAGGCCACACCCATGACAGCACAGTTTATTGGCATATTGGGCCACACCCCCATGCCTTCCCTTGGCTTGCCCAGGTGCCCTGCAGCTGCGGGCAGTGTGGGCAAGCCGGCCCTTGGACAGGCCGGGGAAGGCACAGAGAGGCATTTAAATGCCTCCCCAATTCTTCCAGGGGCCTCCTGGCCCACCCACCTCGGAGTCACCGGGGGGGGTTTGCTCTCCAGGCCTTCCCTCTGTAGCCACACAGAGGTTTTGGCTGTAGTGGGCGTGGCCAACTCTGAAGCCAGCCGGAACTCCGTTCCTGTGCGTTCCTGCCCAGAAATAGCCCTGGATGTTGCAGAAATGGCAGTTTGTCCTCTCCAGCACAAACACACCCTTTATTTCAACCTCGGTTACAATTTGTTTAAACTGTGGGTTGATCATTAGCAAAGCTCATCCCAGTTGGATCATTTGCCAGCACAGGGATGTAAGATCGATTCAAATAGCAATCCTAGGTTTAAATTGCCGTACGGACAACAGTCATCCTGCATTGTGGAGAAGATATGCTAGGCTTTTCTCTTGTAGCAAAGCTGAATGCTCTGACCGTCTTCCCTCTCATGAAACATCCACCAGTGCTGTATATAAAGAGAGGATCTATTAGGCTGCCACGTGCAGAGTAAACAGAACCCAAATTACAAAAGTGAATCCACTTTGCAAGGCCGTGGCTGAAGTACATGTGTGAATGGGCCCCTTACATTTCTACAGAAGTGATAACAACAAGCAGGTGATTCAGAGGTTAGCATTTCGTTTTGAATTCAACATTTTGGCATATATCTGAGTACACTAACATTGAGTTATCAGTGTTAGCTCTTTAAATGACTGAGAAAAGCTCTGGTTGTGTGTTTTGAGCTGTAATGGAACAAAAGGGTAACACCACACTGACAAGGACAGAAACAGCATAGACAAAGGTGGGAGACACAATACTTCACACAAGAGAAAATCTGGACCTCTGTGTTTACGTATGGCATTAGCAGCCATCTTGCGGAACAGTGGAACCATGGCAAACACTGGGAATAGGATCCACTAATTGTCTTTGTTCCCTGTATAGATAAAAAGGTGTGTCCTGCTAATGTGAAAGTCAGAAAGAACTGTGGGTACCCAGGAATCTCTGCTGAAGACTGTGAGGCCAGAGGATGCTGTTTTGAGTCTCATCCCCCAGCCGTTCCTTGGTGTTTCTTTCATGTTCTGGAAGTGCAAGGTAAACAGCCAGACATAAACTTATTTTTTTTGTAAACTAACACAGCTTACATTCTGTAGTGGCACATGTATTACTACTAATTTTCCGGCTTATACTATACTTAGGGATGGGCACTTGGGGGCGGAGGTATTTTTTCAAATTTGGGTTTTAGGAATAGTTTCCATACCAGTATTATGGATGATCTGGGTCCCTGGTATCATTTCAGGGCCCCCCACCAAATTCTGAAATTTTGGGGGTCCATTATTCCCAAAGGGAGATTCTTTCCAGGAGGCTGGAATAGCTGTTTTTTCAAGCAAATCACACCAAAATTGCAGAAAACCTAGTAGTACCTGTCCACTAAGGACTGCCCCGCTAAGATTCAAGTGAATTAGATCAAAAGGTCCAATTTGATGCCCCTCTGTACAAGGTGCCCCCAGCCATCCTACTTGTCTCCACTGTTTTCTGGGGGAAGGAACTACATGCTTTCTCCAGGGCAAAAGGCCAATAGCCAAACACATGAGATCAACAATTGTCCCAAAGTCTCCAAAGGCAAACAGAACCAACAAGCCCAACAGAATCAGTGTCAAACCAGAGAATCCAAGCCATACCAACCTGGCAAGCCAGAACCAAAGCAGTCAGTGAGACCTAGTAAGATACACACGCACTAACATCACTTCCCCAAGGAAGGCCTCTGAAAGTGAAATGAAGGGGATTTGGGGCAGACTTTACCACCACTGGCTCACAGGAGGAGCCTCGGGAGCTGCAGCTGCTTTTTATCACTGGCACTCCTGTTCCCTCCCACCCCTGTAAAGAGGAAATGCAACAGGTTTTTTTCTTCATGAGACTGGCAAGGACAACATTATTGGCACTGTATTTATTTATTTTCTGTGCAGAATTGTGCCAAGAGGTGTTGAGTCCCACCAACACAATTTGTAATGTGGACTTTATAAAGCACCAGTCAAATTGGATAACTTCCATGCTGTTTCTTTCTACTTCTGAGTTTTAAGTTTTGGGACTAGCATTTTCCCCTGACTCCCCAGCACAGACTGAGAGGAAGCAGACTCAAGCACACATTCACTCCACTCACTCTCAAAATCCAGGACTGGGTAGTTGAAGAGCCACAATTTCATCTGCAGGAAGACTGATAGCTCAGTCCTCCAAGGGAGCAGATGGGTGTGGTACGAGCAGACATTGTTGCCCATCTAGGAAAAACACACTCACTCTGCACACTCATTAAAGGGCAAAAAACAAGCCTCTGAGCGACACTCCAGGGAGCAGTCTGGCCAGACCATCTTCTTCCTGGCCCAGTAGCTCAGTGGATTGATGGCAGGCAACTTTTAGAACTCTGATACATGGTCCCTCACCATTGCATCTGCCAGAGCTTGTCTCATGAGCCTCATATTCCCGCTGGTGCCAACTGCCTCCGTGATGGCATCCATCACCATGGCCATCTTGGAATCGGCTGTGGGGGGACCCTGTCCAGAAGGGGAAGTGGGAGGGGGAGCAGTTGAGCTGCTTTATTCTTCCTCCTTCTCTCCAGGGGTCAGTGTAACCCTTTTGACCTGCAAATGCTGCATGCCCTGGGAGAGCTTGTCTCTCCAGCAAATGAGCTGGTGGGCATGCTGGGTGGGGCTGCCCTTGATGCATGGGTCACAAAGGATCACCAATGTGTAGATCTTTTACTTGGTGAGAGGTTCCAGGCAGGATGCAATGCCCTCTTCCAGCCCCTACACCAACATGTGCTCTGCTGAAGGATGTCTGCACATCCTCGCCTGGGTCCAGAAAGGCTGCCATCTTCCCTTGAAGCATTCAGGTCAAGGGAATGACAAGCCCCAGGTTTGCCATGTCAGAGGAGAGCCTTAAGGACCTCCAACATCTGGGAGAGAGTCAGCCATTCCTCATCGCTGAGTAGTCTCTCCCTATGCACAATGCCATCTTCTGAAAACCACCTTGTCCAGGGAGCTGTTCTGATCCAACAGATGCTCAAGCTTGGTGCAGGTGAAATGCAAGAGAGTGCTAACATCACTGACCAGGAGGTGCTCTGGTACACTCATCAGCACTTGGCACACCTTCTGGTACACCCATCAGTACCTGGCACAGCAGATGGGTGACTCTGCTCTGCTTGTGTTTGCTCACCCCTGGGCTACCCAGGTCAAAGATGCTTGGTGTTCCTTCCCTACAGGAGACATGAGGGATGGAGCACTAGGGGGAGTCACAGGGCAACTCTACTCTTGGCTGGCGACTGGCCATACAGCCATTCCACCAGCCTCTTTCTCCCCCTAAAGAAGCACCACTTGGTGATGTCCCTTCAAATGATTCTTGAGCCCAGTCATCAAGAGATTACCCAGGTCATTCCCTCGACTGATCCTAGCCCTGCATAGCTGGCACTATGCAAAACAGGGATCCCCTATCCTCTGGAAGTGCTTCCAGCCTGTGGAGGAATATGGGCACCCATGCTAGCCTACCAATATTTTTGCTGAAAAAGAAGCCACTGAGATAATAAATGTATCAAAAATTAGGGTTGTTATTCTGGACAATGCTGTGTTTTTCCAAGCTCATCAGCTTCAATACATACTGTAAGAGTCACAACCCAGATGTTGTAGAATGTGGGAGAGGCTATCAAGATACACAGTGCATGTCTGAAATCAGAAGCAAGTCATTTTGAATGAGCAATTAGAGGGCAACAAGAAGGGGGACCCGTGATACTCACGGGGGGGGGGGGGAGAGCACCGGCGGTGAGGCCTGACCTCAGCCTGTCAATCTTTCTCCCTCCCCCCTTCCCTAGCGGTGGCAGTGGCAAGGCCTGGCTGGCCTGGCGAACATTCTCCCTACCTCCCCCCCAGCGGCAGCAGCGAGGCCTAGTTGGCCCGCCAAACTTTCTCCCTTCCCCCCCCCCGGGCAGCAGCGAGGGCTGAGCTGCTTACAGCTGCTGGCCGGCCAAGCCTTCTCCCACCCCTCCCCCTCCCTAGTGGCGGCGAAGCCGTTCTCAGAGCATTCCCTGCACATGCGCACAGAACGCTTTTACTTTTGGGGGGATTTAAATATCCCCCCTATATTTGTTTCAACTTTTCAGATTTTTCTGCATATTCGGGGATTACCCCAAATGTGCAGGAAAATCTCCCTGCCCCCCAAGTGCCCCCGAAGTGCAGATTTAGATATCTGCATGGAGGGGGCATGTTGGGAATTAGATATATAGATTTCTACTGATTCCCCATTCTCATTGCAGACCCCCAGCTCAGCCCTCATGTTGTACCCCAGGGTCCCCTATCACCCCAGGAGTAGCATTTCAGGGACATTAGTGAGGGAAGGGATGACTGAAGAGTTCTGTTCCACTGGTAAAAGTGCCATCCGCCAACAGCAAATGACCTTTGGATCCAACCCCATTTAGTAAGGGACATCCAAGCACCTGATTCCATGGAGTTGTGAACAATCATCGCCACAGCTATCTCAGTGTATGTCAAAGACAAAGTAGCTTTGCTGAGCACTGGCATGCATCCGATGTTTAACCAATCTATATCATGGTACAGATAATATCAGCTAGATGAACACAGTAAAACTTACCTACAGAGTAAAACACATACAGATACAGCCTAAATGCATAACTGGGGTAAGGACTGTGGCATGAGTGTATTGTGTGTGCTGCAAGGATGATTTAAAAGATAAAGTCAGCATTTTAGCACTAACACATGCTAGTGACTTACTGCTATCAGGAACTTGGATTCTATTACTGGCCATTAGAGCTGCAGTTTTGTATTCCCTGCCCTGGTAGACCTTCAGAATTTTCAGTTTAGCTGTTCTGGCAGAGCCACCATTTGGGTTATTGTATATAAGAGGAAATACATGAGCTTCGATCCAGCCAGCCTTATACTCAATCTTGTCCCATTCCCCGCCTTACTATAGCCCCTGTCCCACATGGCTTTTGCCCATGCAAGTACAAAGAACTCCAGCATAGCCTCTTTGCTTGGTCAAAGGGAACACTTCTGCCTCCCCCCCCCCAACAGAAAAACTGGTTAATGGAAGTAAAGAATTATCTGGTAAAAGCTTGCAATTAGGCTTCCATGAAAACTGTAATTGTCCATGTCATACAAACATCTTCCAGTAGTATGTCAATGTTTATTACAATGTCCATTTGGAAGGGAAGAGCCTTATATTTGTTCTTTTCCTGTACTTTTTTCAGAGTGTTAAAAGGAAGGTTTAAAAAGGTGCTTTCAAAAAGAACTTCCCATCAACTGAAAAATTCAAGCAAGAAAGTAACACATTTTGTATACCATAATCAGGTCACTTTTCCTTTTGTTCACATCTTATAATGATGCGTTTAGTCACAGATTATGTTCTTTTCAGTATTTTAGTGCTTCACAACTTTAAAATGCAATAAAATAATCAGAACTCTAAATATTAAAGATGCAACATTCTTTCTGTTATGCAGCTAAGGTTTGTTGTCTTGTTATTTGTGCTGGAGCCAGTGAGGTGCAAAGGTCAAAGAACTGGACTAGGATTGGGGATACCGAGATGTCAAGATCACTATGTGACCCAGTAAATAGCCGTAAACATTTCAGTCTCTAAACATTCTAGTAAAAACAAGCCATATCATTTTAATTTATGAGATACATACTTGAGAATTGAACTATATCTTGTGGACATGAAGAACAAGTTTGCCAGCAGAGAAGAGTGAAATGACAAAATTACACATTATGAAGTATTCTGACAATATTCTGACAAAAATACTAAAAGATTCTAAAAATGGTTATTAAGCTCATGAAATCTGCCACCTGTTATCTGGATGTTCCATCAGAGGAAAAGAATCTAAACAGATGGCTGGTCTGAAATACCTTTACCCCAAAGTAACCAAAATACATCTCCAGTAGGAATTAAAGTATCGCTCCAATGGAATTATTGTGGAGAAAGGCAGGGTACAAATGAAGTAAATAAATATAGCAGAAGATGGGGGTCAGATAAAAGGTAACTTGGAAGGTGGGTGGAAAGGAGAGAAGGAAGTAAGAAAAGGGTGCTGCCTGGAGGAA